CCCCCCCCTACCCCCACCACCCCCGCAGCAGCAAGGTTGTCTTTTCTGCCCTTTGTCTTCTTCCTCTCAGAATTTCCATTTCAATTCCAATTCAGCCCTTTTATCCTCCCGTCTGACCCGGGGTCACCGCGCGCCATTGGTGGCCCAACTCTATTGAGTTGGGGGCCATTGAATTGGTGTCAGCTGTGGTGGGTTAGACGGGGACCAGCTTTCTGCTAAAGTCTAACGCAGGGATCGGCAGCCTCTGCACTACGTTGTGTTGGAACTACAAGTCCGTAGACTCCATGACAGCCATGGTGGGGTTTGTAGTTGCACCACGGCTGGAGTGCCAAGGTTGCCTACTCCTGGTCTAAACCTTCCCTCGTCACAAAGCTTGGATTTGGATCACTTTCACTGGTTATAATATATGGGCAAATCTATGTGGACAACCCACCAAATGATGGAGTCCAGGTGAAAAGGTGCCTACAGCATACATTGTAGACAATTGCGCTCCTCCAGCCTTGTGGTACGGGCTTGGTGGAGGCCCTTTTCTATTCCAGATAAAACCGACGAGAGCGCCAACCTAGAGTAACAATGTTACTTTAACAAATATAAAGTCCAACTTTGTATCTTAGTTGCCTCAGGTCATTGTGTTCTTGTCGGCTTGATCTTGATTAGAAGTTTGGAGGTGGTTTCCAAGCCATGGACGGAGAACTGTAAGGCTTGTGTGATGTATTCAGAGGATTCCTTATCCTTCGGACCCGTTTTTGCCACTTTGATTGCTTGTTTATTAGTAAGGTTGGAATTAATTGCTTGAGTACTTATTATGGATGGTCCTCTTCTGTTCTGGCAAAGCCAGCTCCATACAGACATGGTGTGAGAAGTTTGGCGAAGACCCTTTTCTGTTCCACCATGAATGTCCCCTGTGTTCTAAGCCAGCTCCATGAAGACATGGTTTGACCAGTTTGGTGAAGACCGTTCTCTGTTCCACCATGACTGGCCCCTGTGTACAAAGCCAGCTCCATAAAGACATGGTGTGACCAGTAGAGTGAAGACCATTTTCTCTTCCACCATGACTGTCCCCTGTGTGCAAAGCCAGCTCCATAAAGACATGGTGTGACCAGTTTTAATGGAGGAACTGAAGTGGCCTTCACAGTGCCCTGACCTCAACCCTACTGGCTTTTTGTAGCCCATTCAGACTCAGTCAGACTTGACTATGATCTGGCCCAACTTGGAGTCTCACTCTACCGATAAAAAATGGTGTTCTTGCTTCTCAGGGTTCACAGAATTTCAGGTCAGGGCCCATTTATGAGAGATCCCATTAAATCACATAACTTGAGCTGACCAGGACCTCTGCTGGAGCCGGACTGTCTTAGCAGTGTGGCTTCCTCTGAATGCCAACATGAACTAGTAGCATGTTGTGGGTGGAGCCAAGCTCAAGTCACCAAAAACTTTACACAGGCAATTTGTTCATACAAAAGGGCTCACCTTTGTATTTTTTGGCACTAGGGATCCGAGTTAGTTTCGTGTCGAGTTCTTCCTCTGCGGAAATTTTCAAAACTTTGGTCCTGTAGTCGATGACCATGGTGAGGAGGTCGGGACGTCGAGAGATCTCGAAAATGTGTTCTATGTAGGAGAGGTTGTCTGGAAAATGAAGGGTGCGAGAGGTCAGAGGTCAGATTGTGGCAAGTATAGGAATGTCATCTATCTGAGATGTTACAGACGTTTCACCTTACACCGGGCCACAAAGCAACATTTCCCTCCCTTCTTCCTCCCTTCTTCCTCCTTTCCTTCTTCCTCCCTTCTTCCTCCTTCCCTTCTTCCACCCTCCCTCCCTCCCTTCCTTCACTTCTTCCTCCCTTCTTCCTTCATTCCACCTTACAATAGGCCACAACCCCAACACATGAGAAGACTGGAACCCCAGAAAAAGACTGACCGGAGAATATTCCTTCCTTCCTTCCCCTCCTCTCTCTCCATTCCTCTTTCTTCCTTTCTTTCCTTCCATCTTACAGTGGGCCACAACCCCAAAAATATGAGAAGAGAACAATGAGAACAAAAAAGAGACAAAGGAGAATATTATTTCCTTTCCCCCTTCTCTTCTCCCTCCCCCCCCTCTCT